GAGTAATGTAACTCAGTAAATGCATCGAAGTCAGAACATTAAAATGATCAAGTTCGAAAGGCAATGAAAGTTAACTACTTCGTAACAAAGTCTGAACGCACTAAGTCGAGTAATCTGTGACCATAAAGCCGGAACATAGACACCAGAAAACAAATTTCAGCACACGGATCTCGAAGACCGCACTGTCTAAAGCAGCCATCTTTAACTGGAGTAGAGTACCAACATGAGAAAACTAAAGGCGCTAAATTTAAAATACGTAGGTGCGTCATTTTACCCACTTTTCCCTTTAGGCTAATTTGCCCTACGCTGTGAAACAGTCAGTCTGTAATAATATTGTGTTCAGTCGCGTCTCACGAAATTGCGGGCCCAAATCAGCAGAAATTCCAAAAATAATAAGTGTAACGTCTGCTATAACCTGGAAGACATCCTATTTATTGGTGTGAACCGCTTTCAACTCCGGTTAATTACTCGTATGGCCTGGCGATGGTCGCAAATCCAGTGCGTCGATACAAATCTTAATTGCGTATTTAAGCCTCATCGTAACTCACAACGACGTTGCTTCAGTGGAGCTTACAATTTACAATATACCCAAAATTCTTATGTATCATATTACTTAATGACGTCATGATTATTTTACAAACGTTGTCGTATCTTCAGCCCGGCACATATTTCGAGGCAAATAAACACCCCCATTCGTCCAAAAGTCTCATCCGTGATTGTCGTATGTTCCTCTCTCTCCGTGTGTTACGTAGTTTTTCAACATCAGTATGAATTTCTGCAACTTTGAATCCTCTTGGTTTAATATTTACAACACGTGTTCAGTGTATTAACTTATTCTGTGTGTCCTCGATACTTTTATGATTCTTCAAAGTGCATTTCGCTGTTATTCTCGTTCATTTAGTCTCATAAGCGGTTATTTTCGTTTTTTTGTTTCGCTGTTATTGCGAACAGGAAAGTGTCGCTCAAGATGGCGGAATATAACGTTCTCTTCCAGTGTTTTTCTGGAATACTGGTCGCTTGTAAGACTTGTTGTTCTCTCTTTCATATGGCATTGAACATCCAAGGTAATTTAAGGACACGCGGTATTTTATTTTAATATCAATTTTACTGCTCAGAATATGCCATAGAATTTTATTTTTAAACTAAAATCGTGTGATTATATTTGTATATTCTTTTATTATTCTTTTTTAGCTTAGTTCTTTGAAAGTGGCAGAATTACTTGGTCGACTACAAAGAGGAGTGTGTTTAAACAACTACTGCTGGATGTTTGTATTTCTTCCATTCCCCTAGGCTCGATTTCTAACTCTTTCATTTAAGCAGATAAAATTTCTGACAAATGACATCCTTGACGCGCATTAGTGATAAGTTAACGGTCAGAGATGCAGGCAATTTTGAACCAAAATGCTGCTCCTTTCAGTGCGCCATTAATGTGGACCTCAGTACAATACGATGTGCTTTTTCGCAATCCACAAATATTGTTTTTCGTTTCTCTAAATGCTGTTTTTGGCTTCAGATAAAATCTATTCACGATTCACCTAGGATTTTTCCCAACTGCATACAATGCGTAAGACTTGAGGTTCTCACAGCGGTGAGTATGAAGATTTCTGTCTTCTGGGTTGTTGCGCTGTGTAGTCTGGTCGAAGTTAACCAACGTTTCAGAGGTCATACTGCCTCCATCATCAGGGCGCTGAGTATGAAGATTTCTGTCTTCTGGGTTGTTGCGCTGTGTAGTCTGGTCGAAGTTAACCAACGTTTCAGAGGTCATACTGCCTCCATCATCAGGGCGCTGAGTATGAAGATTTCTGTCTTCTGGGTTGTTGCGCTGTGTAGTCTGGTCGAAGTTAACCAACGTTTCAGAGGTCATACTGCCTCCGTCATCAGGGCGATGAATATCGCCCTGATGACGGAGGCAGTATGACCTCTGAAACGTTGGTTAACATCGACCAGACTACACAGCGCAATAACCCAGAAGACAGAAATATTCACATACAATGCGTTTAAACGTTTCAACAATTTCGATTCGATTTCCTTCCGTGCTGAGTTTATTTTGTTTTCTGCTGGAATCTTAACCGCATTTCGTTCTGACAAAACCCTCGTTCTTCTCGAAACAATTCTTGCGTCGGAATTCTAGAGAGCTGTAGAGACATTGCGTTTCATTTTCCCGGATCCTTTAATCCTCGGAGGGTTTCTTTTTAATCCCCAACAGCTTTATTTAAGCATTTCAAAACTTCTTGTCTATAGTTTAACCTTACGTAAATCACATTTTAAATTTGTTATATACATTTTCTTCTGACGTCTTCGTGTTCCTCAGAGCTGAGCTACTTTTCAAAATTATTTTGTCTTCCACGCTTTAATTTTGATAATTTCATATTTTTAAATATTCTCTATGATTTTCTTTGTTCATCTTTCGGTAGACCATCGTGAACATTTTCTCCTCATTAATTCTCTGTAATTGTCTGTAATTTCAATTGAAATCCTTCTTTCCTTTCGTAAACCCAACTTATTTACTTTGTGGCATATTTTTGGGTTTCTGGTTGTTACATTCATCAATTTAACGATCATTGGGTAAACAAACTCTGGTTTTACGCTTACCAGAAAGTATATGGTCCCATCTTCGAGATATTGCACCAATTCCGATATTATCTCGGTTGCTATGAAATAACAAATTACTTTCATGTATTTTACCTGACCACGCAGACTTTATCACAAACCAGCCAAGTTCCGGGCAACAGAAATTGCTCGTTTAACTTTTCTTGCTTTCCAGGTACTGAAATGTTCTTTTCATTTAAAAACTTCGTCAGATTCCTTCGTGTTTACATCTTCAGATAAAACACTCTGGTTAACGAACATACAGCACGGAACTTCCAACTTTGATAGTTGCCCCATGGGACTTTACTAATAGTCTGAGGCGACGAGAGTGAATAACGAAGTGATGAGAAGATATAGGGGGAAGTGGCCGTGGCCTAACATAAGTCACGACCCCTGGATTATCGTGAAAATACTGGAAAACCGATTTCCCTGCTGCGATTTGAATCCGGGCCTCACGAGTACGAAGCCGGAGTGCCAAGTACTTGGCAGCGACTTCCGGTGACTAACCCTGGCCATAGGAAATTGACAGCGTCGGACGTTACGATATTCAGACTTCGAGGACCAAGAGGCAGGGAAGTATCTGAAAGGCGAAATTAATGACCTTGTTAACAAACCTGTTACAGATATGTACAGAGGCATGAATTAATTTATGGCGACGGTGGGAGACCTAGAACGTAGTTAATATGCAAGTCGTGTTCTCCTTGCAGATCCCCCCCTCCCCCAATATTTTGAATAGGTTTAAGAATTACTTTCTTTGGCTACTGAAAATGCATGGGGTCACTGATGTTGGCCGACAGGAACGCTCGGCCGAGCCATTAGTACATGAACCCAGCTGTTTCGAGGGTCAGACTGCTACTGGGAGGCTGTGAGGTCATTAATCACCAGGCGCTGATCAAATTCTGGTGGAGTATCTTCAAGCTGGAAGTTTTGAGAAACAGAAACTTATCGATTCTATTTTGAATAAGATATGCCGGGTCATTGCAAGGAATCTCTTGGGAAGTGTCGAGATATATCGGTGTTATCAGCCACGTACAAAATTTTATCCAGCGTTCTTTCTGCCAACGTTAACTCCATAGGCACGTGACGTCTCTGGGGGACGATCGGTGTGACGTATTAAATGCTGTTCGGATATTTTGCGTTCCTCGGAGAGAAGATTCGGGCTGGAAATGAGCTGTTCTGAGACATCAAGCAAAACTCTGGTTCACTTAGAAGGGAATTCTGTACATTGGCCAATGAAACTACGAGAAATTAGTAAGACACGGGGTTTTTACGGCGGTGTGTACATTGGCCAATGAAACTACGAGAAGTTAGTAAGACACGGGGTTTTCACGGCGGTGAGTACGGAGATAGCAATGACCTCTGAAACGTCGGTGAACTTCCATCAGACTTCACGGCGCTGCAGCTCAGAAGACAGCCATCTGCGATTGGTTCAAATGCGTTTATATAATTCCGTAATGCCTCTTCAATTTGGTTTCCGTTTCTTAACTTCCGGTCCTTGATTAAATTAAGAGTAGAATTCGTCTGCGAAATGTTTGTTTTTGTTCAATATGAAAACTGTTTTCATTTCGCTCGCTACTCAAAGCACTGAAGATCAGGATATATAACAGGGGGAGAGCAAGGGGTCATACAGAGGTTTGGTGGGGAATCCTTCTGGAAAACGAACAATGGGCAGACCAAGAAGGAGATGGGAGGATAATATTAAAATGGATCTTAGGGAGGTGGTCTGAATGGATGGCAAAAGGATGGATTTGGCTCAGGATCGTGGCCGTTGACGGGATTTGGTGTTGAACCTGTGGGTTCTGCTACAAGGGAGTTACTTTGTTTTTTTTTTGTTAAGTTCCAACTTTAGCCACTGTAAGACAGTGTCCCGCCGAGTAGCATCGCGACACACCGGTGTGCGATAGAGGAAACTATAAATGTGATGCAAATATTTGCAACGCATTCACGAAGCCGTCCAATGATCTTTGAGTTGCTGATATTACGTCTTTACGAATCTAATCCGTCCGATCTGCCTACCTAACGCGAAACGCTCGGGTCGTGTCAGTTTAAGAGAACGGCACCCGAAATGAGGTTTGGGTACAAGCCCCCCTGACAAGCCACGGGTTTCGAACCGAGCAGTGCGTGCCTGCAGGCGCTGGAAACCTGTTGGTGTCAAAACAGGCTCTGGTTTGCCGGAGACTGTCTCGTGGTGGAGTAACAGCCCGGATCAAGGACAAACAAAGGCTGAAATATATTGCGCTATTGAAATGAGCCGAGGAATGAATGTCTTGAACTGTGGAACCGTACGGTTCGCGAGAACCCACAGCCGTTCTGACGGCGAACGCACGGTTTCGCATTCCGATACACGCTTTCTGAAGTGACGCTGTTTTGAAGTAGCGATGCATTCACAAATAAAGAGTCGCTCAACTTACGACTGCGATGAGAACGTATGACGTCACAGAAGATGGCGACCCGGTGGCTGGACCAACTCAGTAGTTTGCTGCCTCGCAGTACCCAAAAGGCGTTCTCCGTCTTGTGAGCCGTGCGTCTCTGCATCCCACACCTGGTGATTAAAGCGGACGGAACGTGAAACTGCGATATTGATAATGGACTTACTTGTTGATGTTTAAAGAGCAGAGGTTAGACAAAATCGGAGAGGAAGTTAAAACAAAATATTGTAAATGATCTGTTGGAAAAGAGGCGGTTGTTTCAAATGAGGGAAAATACGTAAAACTTTACCGTCACTGGAGTTAACCTGAAGAAAACGTCGACGTTTGTACCCGGAGTGAAAGTGAACGCGCGAGAAAAGAATGTATCGGCCTCGGAGCGTTTGGTCGGATGCGATGGCGGCCCACGTCAGCCCACACGAAGTGAACGGAGGAGAGAGGTCACCCAGATGGACGGGGTCCAGTGCGCCATGCCAAGGTCAACAGTTTCATTGAGGACTGGAGGGGCAGGGCACCCCAGGAAGTTCAACGAAAACGCATCACGGGACACGAAGGGAATGGGAAGGAGACGGCTACTGCTCCGAGCGCGGAATCAAGGGCGGGCAATCGCTCTATGCATTTTGAAACAATAGGGTATTGTCGCGTATTCGTACACGGAGGAACAGAGGCGGTTCGGACATTGAGGCAAACGGAGGAATGAAAGAGTGGTCTATATTTACGAAGCAGGAAGACATCAGAAGCTTTGCTGTGGGCCAGGGGATGTTAATGACTCGGGGAGGTGCGTCCGACCGAGCGAGGGGCTGAATTTTACGATGTTTGCTTCTGCGATATTCAATCAGTCGCAATTACGTGCACACGGGAGCGAAAGAGGCGAATGTTTGCACGTGACAGCCGCCCAGTTCAGTCAGCTCCACCTCCGACACAACACGGGGAGTAGTTTGCATCTTTTAATATTCAAAACTTGGAGGGTTGTCTCAAACGTAGGTTAGCTAGTGAGTGAAACTTTTAATAGAATTCACGGTCGGCGCTCAAATTGATTGCGGTTACTGAGCTCGAGTTATTAATAATTTACTTGGGGGGAAAAATGGGTGTAGCGGACATCACAATTTCTGTTTTCTTTACTCAGAAAATACTTAACTAGCCTTCTTCGCCCTGAAGATGGAAGCAGTAAGCATCTCTGAAACGTCGATAAAGTTCTAGCAGACCGCCCGGCGCGCGCACTCAGAAAACATTCTTATTCTCACTCAACTGTCACTTAACTGATGGAAATTTAAAAGTTTCTTGGATTCGGCAGTAAGTATACAAGCAAAGAATTGTGCTGGTTGTTAAGATTCGATCAATGCATAGAAAGATTTCCGTTTGATACGTTCCGGAGTGTGTGGTGTACTTTGTCCCATGAACCCAACTTTAATCCAGAAAGACTTAACAGTTCACTCGCGTATAGAAACAAAAATGAATCGAACTTCTTATTTGAGATTCAGTCACGTCATATCGCTCGAGAGTTGTGAACGCCGTGAGCCCAGCGACGCGCTGATTTAAATATCGAACCATCAATCGAAATCGAAATCGAACGGTCTCGCCCGCAGGTCGATTAGCGTTAATTATCGCGGCTTCCACGGGCGAGGAATTTAAATTATATGAAACTGCCGCTGAGAACAGCCAAAGTGGTTAGAAAAATACAGATTTAGAACTTTGACCGTCTAATGAAGTTTTCTCGATAGTTCCGAAATCTTTATTCTGTTACTGTCGAGAGCCTTTAGTACAGAGACTTATCGATACATAATCAGTTCCTATTATTGTTTTAGTCTTTCGTCGATAGATGGCGAAGTTGCTTGCATTCCAGGAATAGAAGTAAATATGTGCGCGGTTATAACGAAGTTGCTTGCATTCCAGGAATAGAACGAAATATGTGAGCGGTTATAAAAGACATTTCTTGGTGCCAATTGGCCAACTTTTTTGAAAATCCGCCTTCTTCTAGTGCAGCGAAACTCTTGGAAATGAAGACATCTTCTGGTGCTCAGCAGTCTGCCAATCAGAGTTACTTAATTATTTTACAAACACATATATATTATTCAGTGCACCGTTAAGTAATCTTCAGGTGTCTGAATTTAAATTTTCAGAATCTAGATAGATACATGTAACATTTTCTCTCTGAGTGATTTTTTACATAATTTATCTACAATTTCCTTATGCGACTCGACGTTTTGGACAAACCTGTCGCTTCATAAATGTTTTGAACTTCGAAACTCAACCGATAATATTATTGAACGCGTCTCTGGGACAGAAAACAAATTTGTGTTTATAATATTTTCTACGGCGTTGCTTTAAGTAATTTCTTTGGACACTCCTGGGCCTAATTTTTTGAATAACGCAGCACCACTGTCCGTGCGGTTGTCATTCCAAAAGACGTTGTGTTTAATATTACAAGTTCCTTGCTCAATTTGGTCATATTTCTTTGTTGTTGTTGTTTTGTTTTTTCGAAATAACTTAGAAAAATTTCACTGCGCTCACAACTTTACTCGGGGGGTTGGGAGGTCGTTCAACTCCGCGCCAGATTTTTCGAAACACAAAAAATATGGCATTTTTCGCCCCACGGTCTTTATTGTTCGTTATTCTTCCACGGCGCGCCGTTTCGGAGAAACAAGGCTGGGACGGACGGACGGACGCTGGCTATTATAATACACTGAATGCAGAGGCCAGCTTTATGTCGAATTTTAGAAGCGCTAAGTCAGCGACGCCATTCGGCGTCATATTGGATGGAAACGCGACTTCGCTACAGTTAGGTAACCGACGCTGGGTTTGCGAAGAGGCTTGCAAGCACTTGGATTCCATGACGGCTGTCAGCAGCCAATCAAGACGAAGGAAGGTCGAAGATAAACCCGGCCTAAAAATAAACCTTGGGAGATAATTCCACAAGACCGGAACAGATGATGATTATGACTACTTTTATCTTCCAATAATACTTAAAATATACGATACTGATGATTAAACTCACGTGCATGTTTTATCGGATTTAGAAATTCTTATCTTGACGAACAACACAGAAAAATGTACGGTGGACCGTTCTCATGCTTAATACTGCTTATTCCAAACGCGTCTGTCCAAGAAAATGTCAACTCTCGGAGCCTCGACCGTGCCTGAGAGTCTGAAACGTCCGCGGTGCTCGTATTATCGGCACGCCAAACCCAAATTCTGTGTGCGGTAAGACAATTTCGATCGGTCTGTCGAATTTTTGATGAAAAACTTGTTCAGGACTCGCGGGAAATTCTTCGCCCGTCTACGGTTTACAGGAGACAGTCGCTGGAAAAGTTCAAACCAAAATACACAAAGAGGCCTTAGCCAGACTGTCAGCTGGTGCGTCACATTGAAATGTACATCCTGAGATTTGAGGTTCTCACAGCGACGAGTATGAAGATTTCTGTCTTCTGGGTTGTTGCGCTGTGTAGTCTGGTCGATGTTTACCAACGTTTCAGAGGTCATACTGCCTCCGTCTACAGAGTATGAAGCTTTCTGTCTTCTGGGTTGTTGCGCTGTGTAGTCTGGTCGATGTTTACCAACGTTTCAGAGGTCATACTGCCTCCGTCTACAGAGTATGAAGCTTTCTGTCTTCTGGGTTGTTGCGCTGTGTAGTCTGGTCGATGTTTACCAACGTTTCAGAGGTCATACTGCCTCCGTCATCAGGGCGATGAATGTGACGCCCTGATGACGTAGGCATATGACCTCAGAAACGTTGGTGAACATCGACCAGACCCAGACACTCTTTGCAACGTGAATCAAGTTAGAAAGTAATTGAAACCGTTCGCTTCGAAGACGGATCGCGTCTACAGACTTTCTGCGAAGAAACTTCAGTGTCGCCGCGTATGTCTCGAGTAAAACCTCGCACTGATTACTGAATAAGTTACCGACCGTCAGAGTATCGGTTACTTCGCTGTCCAGGTAAATGGCGGTGGAACTTCGTCGAGTCAAATTGCGCGGATAACTCCCAGAAACTGTCAGGGAGTTTCGCTGTGCTGTACAGCTCAATGTTTCATGTTCGACAGATTTCCAGGTAATTTTGCGCTGAAGGCAAAACTGCACATTAAAATATTTCTCGAGTGTCTCGTCTTTGTCAGCTCACTATAACCTGAACATCAAATTATAACTTATTAAATTTATCCTAGTGATCAAAAATCAAGCCATGAAGCGTTAGGCGGCCTTGTATTTCAAGTATGTTCTCCGTGACGCCGTTTCGCTGTCACATGTTGTCTCCATCTTCAGGGCTAATTTCTCTTTGAGGTTGTGGATGGTGCGAGGCTTGTTCGTGGCATCCTTTCTCTTCAGTAGGCTTCACAGGAAAACGTCCTCACGTGTTTTACGTGATCTGGAGTCGAACTGAGGCTGTCGGCACATCATTCGAGCCTTCTTCCTTGCCCCATTTCTAGCCTAGTTTTCCTGGTAAGACTTCGTGTGCCTGATAACAGCGAAAGGAGGCAGGAGAGAGCAGTCCTCTTATTCTGAAGCCAATGTTTGCCTTACGTCACAGAGCGAAGGAACACCATCGTGTGTGTGGCTGTCGTATTTACTTGGAATAGAATTATTTTAAATCTGATAAAGTTATAAAACAAATGTCCCATCTTCCTACTAGGAAATTATATTTTTTTAAATTCTATTTTACCATTGAGCAATCCACCACTGACATGAGAGTATTCATTCGTCGTCTTATCAAGCATTCTTTATGGGTAGTGACTTCTGTTTCACTTTCCTGGTCTTGAACTTGGTCTTGAACTTTCGAAAAGAATTAGCGCGAAAGGAAGCCTAGCTCTGATACTAAGAAATCCAATGCTTATACATCGTATATCTGCGTGCAGTAGGAGATGTTAGACGTCGCCAAAATCACATCATTCGGACGACAGGACGCAGAGTTCCACACATTTAATGCAAGTTATAAAATAAATTCAAACCAGTTCATAATAGTAGTTGAATTTATACAGCTTAATGGTATTTAAAAGGGACCGCAAAGGATTTACGGGGACCGAGGGTGACGAGGAACGTGTCAGCGGGTTCGGGGCTCTTCCCACTGCCTCTGGAGGAGTTCAGTCGGCGGCCTAGGACTCGGCCTCCGAGGTACAACTTTCGT